CCTTCCGCAGCCCCCCCCCCCCCCCCCCCCCCCCCCCCACCCCCCTGGACCACTTACCCTTGAAGTTGCCGACCACCTTCTTTGCAAAGGCACCGGCAGCCTTTTCGAACGCGTCCACGCGATCGGGGTTCTCCGCTGCCAATCTAGTCTTGACGGCTTTCATGTACCCCTGCGAATGCCGCAGGTCGACAGGAATGGCAGTGGTCAGCAAAATGCAGCACCTCGGTTGCGCGAGCGCTGTGATTGCTGCTGCCCTGTGGAATTGCCAGAGTGGCAAGTGTCCTCTGGACCGTGTCGACGCCGAATCAATGTAGCTTGGCATGCCTTCGCCGTCGCCTCTCAGCAACTCTCGGGTACGAGTGCGAGCCGACTGATCATGGTGCTCGGCAACAGCACCACCCATATCTAGCGGCGCATGGGCGCGATTTGTACAATTCCAGACGAGACATCACCGGGGAAAAGAAAGGGGGAAGACACTTACCTTGAGGTGTGCGAGGTAGGACTTCTTGTCGAAGGTGGTGTTCTGCAGGCGGAAAGTGTGAACGACGTTGATGACAGTCTGAGCACCGCTCTCGAGTGCCTCCGCCTGCTCCTCTGCAGAAGGGTTTCCACCGATGTCGACATCGCCCTCCTTGACGACGATCTGAGCGGCATCCACTTCGTACACCACGTCATCCACCTCGCTGATCTTGTATCCATCAGAGACGAGCTCGTCGCCGGAAATGGCATCGGTGTAAAGCTGCAAAATGAAGGAGCGGGCTCTTAGCATTCAGCAAGGGAAGATTCTTGTGACCGTATGGTTGGGCAATCAAATGCTCGCATCTTGACCCACCTTCATGATGTGCTGTAGAGTCTGAAGCGGTGTGGGAATGTGCGATGAGAAGGTATGCAGGGATGAGAGTTGATGGACAAAGCGATGATTGCGGTGGTGCAAAGAACGTCGATGCCATCGTTGCAAGCTTTTGCAAGATTTGCCCGCGCCGCCAGAGAAAGCACACCCGCTAGCCGATGGCAACGCAGCAGACAGCGCGCTTTCTTCTTGCGCGTGCACTACACTTGATGCCAAACAAAAAAAAAATCTCGAGGCCTTGCGTGCACTCACTCAAACTCTTCTCTTGACTAGCTGCTGCTGCTGCTGCTGCAGGCGCAACTGAGGAAGGCAGGCGCGCGGCAGCACACCACAGCACACCATGACACAGCGCGAACGCGTGCGTGCATCACGCCTCGGACTCCTCAGTCTCACCTTGTTTTGATCACGCACCGCGGCAGCTGAGGCGCTCACCTTTCCACCATAGTGCCCCTTGCTGCGACGTGCTGGTGTGGCGCACGCGGCTTGCACCGGCGCAGCCATGCAGCTATATAGCCCATGCAGAGCTATGCAGATGAAACCAATCAAGATTTCAAAGCGCTCTTCAATGTCTCGTCTTCGCGCCAACCTCGCACAGCTAGGGCGCGCAGGCGTGCAGCCAATTAAGCAGCGAAGCTATACAGGCAAGTTGCTTATGGGCACGTGGCTATGCACAGTCAGTACATGCTCACGACTGTACCATCCCATCAAGCAGGCTCGTGTTCGGGTCACGGTCGAGGTCCAACCGAAAATGGCCATCTTGAGCAAGATCCACGCTTCTTCTCCATCACGATCCGTGGCGGCAGTGTACATCCTGCGCCTCAAGCCGCGACTAGGCGATCGTTTCTTGAAACGCTCACGTCAGCTGACGTGCTGGTGTCCCACGCACTCGGGCTACGATGACGATATGATTGAGAGCAAAGAGGTGCGTAAATGTCTTCCTCACAGGAGAGCATGTGACCTTCAGACTTGTCAAGCCTTCAAAGAATGTTGCACCTCCTTGTCAGGACAAGCCGGCGGCTTGACTTCGGCATCGCGCTCTACATCATGAGCCGTGCTGGTCTCGGAGACAGTGTGAGGAGTCGCGCCTTGCACAATCGGCCTCTGACCAGCTAATGTCTCCTTCTGCATCTTTCTCCTCTCCTTTTCGTTTTGTCTCTCCCGCCATCTCCTCATCTTTTCCCTCTGCTGCTGCATGCTCTCTTGCCTTTCCTCTTCTTCTTTCGCAATCTGTCGCGCAACTTTGGACATGCCTCTCACCCTCTCCCCAAAGAAGAGGAGGAAAAAGGGACACAGACCCAGAATCGCTGCAATGGCGCCCAAGATCGACGAGGCGACGGGCGGCCTCAGATTGCCGTACATGGCTGGAGCAAAGAGCGGAAAACTACCAGCAAAGACGTTTCGCAACCAAGATTGGGCTGCGAGAAATCGTGGGCAGATGTTAGTGGAAAGCTAGCGCCAAGGCGCACAATCTTCGGACGGGGAAAAGGCCGCTCACCTGCGAGGCCAGAAGATGCGTAAGCTTCAAAGACGTCGGCAAAGTACAAGAACACTGCGATGTTGGGCGAAAGGTGGAATGGGGCAATCAGCTGGCTTTTCATGCATCTTAGAAGACGTGGTCGCTCGACAACGCGCACCTGCCAAGTAGATGGGGAAGATGGCCGAGGCAAAGATGCCGAGCATCACGATGGGTACTGCCGGATGGACCGAAGCTTGCTGTAGGTGCAGCGCAGATGAGCCTCTCAGCCATCAGCACCATGGCAGCACACGCAACGATTCAAGCCCACTCACGCCTGTCCAAGCGAATCCAAACATAGCAGCAGGAGCAAGCACGGCTCCGACGCAGCTCCAATAGAGCCTAGCTTCGGGTCTAGGTTTGTCGGGCGCAGCTTTGGCAGCTTCTCGATTGTAAAGCTTTTCCTGGTGCAGATGTGCAAAGAAACCTACGATGCCCCCTAGTCCCAGCACCGAAAGGACGGAAGATCGAGCTGCTTCAGACCAGCCGTACGCTTCGAAGACGGTGGGAGTACCTTGGAGCAATAGAAAGAGAGTACCCCACAAGAAGCCTAGGGTGAAGAGAGATGCGAGAGTCAGAAATTCGGCTGCGACGGCTTCATCCGACTCAGCCCGACGCACCTATCCACGTGCTGAAGAACAAGACAATGGGCTCGGTGACGAGCCAGACGGCAGGTCTACACAGGCTAATCTTTACAGCCGTCCAAAAGCTGGACCTCTCGTCATCCGCTCTGCACCTGTGCAATTTGCCCGTCTCCCTTGTCAGTCTTTTAGCCTTGCGACTGAGCAGAACTGGACCTCTTGTTTCTCGGAGACCGATGGCATAGAGTGCAAAGGAGAAGAAGGCCATGGCGCAAAGCCACCAGAATGTGATTCGCCATCCCACGTGCTCCGCTGTGTACGCTCCCGCCACTGGACCTATCCCTTGCCCAACCTGCGCAAGGCCCGAAACCGCTTTCGCTGTGAGCATCCTGCGCAAGCTTGCGACGTCGAAGCTGCACACCACTCACGAAAATGCCTAGGGCAAAGATGGCCATGGGTATACCACGGCTTGAAGCTGGAAAGACGTCTGAAACACTTCCTCCGACTATTATGGGAGGCCGTCGCCCGCGACGCGTGTCAGCAGGGCAGCATCGAGCTCTTTTAGCGGTGCGCAGCGTGCTCAGGCGACACTCACCCATGCTATTGCCCACACTGGCTGCCATGCCCTGCACAAACCGGCTGAGAATGATGGCGTACACGTTCGGAGCGAGAGCTTGCGGGATGAACATAACCCTGATGAGGGTGCGGCACGAGCGAAAGGGGAAAGAGAAACGAGTCAGTAGGTTCGTTGGCAGATGTGCACCGTCTCTCTCCGTTTGCTCACGCATTGAGAAAGACGGCGACCATGTAGATCGGTGTGCGACCATATATCTCCGAGAGCGGTGCGAGCAACAAAGGCGTAAAGGCGATTCCTATAGAGAGGTATGCCGTATTGCCCAGCAAGTACACCTCCGTCGTCGTGTTAAGGTCGACGAGGGCGCCTGATTGGGTCGTGCCGTACGCTGTGGCGTTGACGGCTGTAATGGCGCTGAAACCTATGCAGATGCAGATGATCATCACTCTTCGACCTGAGTAAGATCGATTGAGCGCGAGCGCGATGAGCCCCGCGAAAAAGGTGCCAGGAAGGGTTCAGCAAGTCGGTATTGGAAACGAGACGCGATGCAATGAGAAGATGCTGCGCTTCGCCTGCGGTTCGTGCGAGAATGGAGAGAGAGCTCACCGAAAGACCAATTGTAGGGATTTTCGGGATCGCCATCTGCCCACTCCACGTAGATCGCAGCTGGTTCGCTTCGTGTCTGTGTCAAAGCTGCGCTTGGAGCAGCCGCAAGACCTCTGTGCTGCTCCGCTTTCCCCTCCTCCTCTTTCCCGCTCGCAATCTCGACTCTGCTCGTGTCCTTCCCATCCACGTTCTCAGCTTGGAAGCCTGCCTGGCTTGAAGCGGCCTGAGCAGCATCGCGTCGAGTAGATGTGCTGTCGATCGAGGAAGAGTTCGATCGATGCGCGTGCTTGCGAGTGTTTGAAGGGGGAGAGTCGCTAGTGCTCAGCCGGGCTGGCGCGTAGAATGCCGGAGGATGGTGCGGGGCAAAAGCGACGTTGCTGCTGGGACTGCCTGGACCGTCTTGACTCGCAGCTTCACATCTCGAGCGTGACATGGTCTGCTCTTTGTCTATCCGACGATGTCGCAAAGGAAGCGCTGCCCTTGTTTTATCCCGAGGAGCATCAGCACGAAGCGCGCGATTCAGTGAAATGTGGCAAGCAGGTGCAAGGCTGTGAAGCATAAGATGCAATTTTGAGAGATGGAGTACGATGACCTTCGTCGATTCCCATGCAATGACTCGAACGGAACCGATGATCCTCTGTGCAAAAAAAGGCCTCCCTTTCGGGGCCGAACATGGGCACGAGAGCAGTGGCGGGTGAACCTCCTGTAGCTCGATCTGTACGGCGCGGTGTCTTCGGGCAAACTTTCAACCGCACGGCGCTGCGACAATTCAGTCGGTCGGTCGATCGTCTTGCAGTCATGAGCCTGAGTCAAACCAGCACAGTCAGAGTCAGAGTCAGAGTCAGAGTCAGAGTCAGAGTCAGGACGCGGAGTACATAGATGACAATTCGCTAATAACATTCACAAGTCTGCCAATTATTGTAGCCTGTCGTTTTGGCGATGTATTTGCCTTTGCCGCGTCTGAGACATCTGACACTCGCGACATTTGACAGTCGTGAGTCACATCAGTCACGAATCTCTTTTTGACTTAAGTGGGTGGCTGCGATATCCACCACGCACTTGTTACCATTTACCCACCGCGAGCATGGGCATTCCTCACGAGGCGCGATACAGCATGGGCGCCCCACCGAATCGCCGATCCCTTCGCGTCATTGTGTGCCATGCCTCTTGCATCGTGGCAGGTGACATGACAGCAGGTGGCGTGCACATGTCTGTTCCTCGGCTTGATCGATCCTGCGTCGATCGCTGAAGCTGTCTGGCAGCTTATAGCCAGATCTACAAGGTACAGCATGCCACGATCGACTTTCTGCGACTCGCTCTCCTCGGCCAAGCGCGCAATCAAGCTGTCAGCATAGCGTGCATCTGTCAGCAAACTTGTGACTGCACTCTTCGGGACTCTCGATGCCGCGCGGGGGTGTGGGGGGGGGGGGGGGGGGGGGGGGGGGGGGGGGGGGGGGGGGGGAGCACTCGTGGCTGCGCACATGAGATCGCACGCACGCACAAGCGACTCGACTGTTGTGACTTTGACTCTACCGACTACTGCGACCCAAAATTTTGGATCATATCCAGCAGCAGCGAGGTGGAAAGTCCGATCAAGGGGCGCTCCCCGCAAGTGAACGTCGAGAAGATTCTCGCCAACCTCATTCACAACTTTTTGTGATGACGCGCGATACTCATCACTCTCGTACGCAACAACAACAACCTCCACCGCCGATATCCGCCTGCAATCACCAAATCGTGAATGGCGAATTGCGAATTGTGAATCGTGAATATGAATGTCCGATTCACACCTCGCGATTCGGTGAATGATATCGACTTCAAGACTCAGACTGCATGCCATGCATGCATGGCTTTATTGCGTGCGTGCGTCGGGCCGGAAGATGCGGTCAATGTTTGCGAATCAAAACGTGAATTCACCCAAGTGGTGGTCCCATTCACGCGAGAGGCCAGCGACGTCCAGATTCCCATATCGATAGTCGTGAGTACCTGAGCCCGATTCAATTCTGATTCATGACGTGATTGAGACAGAGAGGACTGCAGCTACACTTCATAATTGACGAGTCTTGAGTGCCAGCGTGAAAGGAACGGAGATCAGATCTTCTTCCCGCGTGCACCACTACCACCACCCTGACCCACACCCCATCTCGACAGCAGACCTTGCTCGAGGGCAGAGCAGACCCAAAGCCGATCTTCGAAAGGGAATAAGCATCATCTTTATGCTTCGTGCAGGTCTAAAAGTTCACCAACAAGCACCCTGAATGAAGAGTCAGAATCTGGATTAACACCTGGACCATCTCTTCGTGCGCACACGTGACGTGTTGTGCCCATCAAGATGCCGCTCGATGCTAGCCAGACGTTGGGCGTCGAGGTTCCCATTCCTCCCTACCTGCTGCTCCCGCTGCTCAAGTCGCCCTTGCATGGCGATGCCAACGCATCTCCCTCCATCCCAACACCGCCCATCACCACGACGTACAAAGAGTGGACGCGAACCACGCACTTTTTGCCCGCCGCATTTCCTCGCGCCCACACGCTTTGCGTAGCTCCAGCCTTGACACGTCCCACCCTCCCCACATCCAAGGAGCACGAGCGACGATTGCGCAAGGAAGAGTTTGGGCGTTGGAAAGATCACTGGAAAGGATTTTCTGCACAGGATTACTTTCCTGCCAGGTCGGAGCGGGAGGCTGATGAGACAGCACAGAGGTTGGCACAGGAACAACAGTCGACACCTCTTTGGAATGTGGTGCAGAGATGGTGCAGGAGAGGCTGCGAGGTGCCAGAGAATGGACTGATCCTTATCGCTGCTCATGCCAATGGCATGCACAAGGAGGTGAGCAGGGCGCACAGAGCATAGCATAGCCCATGCATTACAAGTCGTCAAAGTCCCACAGAGCAGTGCGCTTACGGGACGACTGGCTGCTGGCACTTTCAGACGTTTGAGCCGTGCTTGGAAGCCTTGATACACCACTCCAGCACGCCCATAGCTGAGATCTGGTCGCTCGATACCATCGACTCTGGCTTTTCGGGTGTGGTGAACGAGGGCAAGCTGGGCCCTTCAGGTGAGCAGTCGAGCTCCGCGGACCCCTTTGCATGACCTCGTATCGTTGACTCGTTTGTGACTCTTTGCGACGCGGGCAGCGTCTTGGTGCGATCAAGCGAGAGATCTCCTGAATCTCATTCATCACTTGCCAGAGCCCGGACAAGCTGCTCCGGACGTGCTGAGATGGAAAGAGAGGGGAGGTTTTGCAGGCACGAGACCCATAGTGGGCATCGGACATAGCTACAGTGAGTCACAATCGTACGTGGAGACAGTCTATCTCGATGGCCCGTTTCGAGACTACAGACTGAAGGATGAATGCTTGCGCTGGATACATCCTAACACTGTCTGCTCCACCTGCTCCGCCTTCTTCGAGTGCAGGCGGCTCCGCAGTTCTTCGCTTGGCCTCAGCCGTTCCCACGGCGCTGGACGGAATCATCTTTATCGATCCCGTTCTTCTGCGGCCCGAAGTGCTCAGCAAGCGACCCAAGCCCGAGTTCAACGCTCGGGCTCAGGGAACAGTGGCAAGACGCGACGTCTTTTCGGACAGGTGAGCCAAAAAGGTCTTGTCCTGCAGGGGATTCTTGGTCCATTGATCCTCCCAACGTCCCACCTTCGCTTTCCCTGATGACGATCATCGTAGGCAAGAAGCGATGCGATATTTCCAGTCCAGACCTTTCTTCAGCAAGTGGCATCCTCGAGCGCTTCAAGCAATGGTAGAACATGGTCTAGTACCTCTGGATCCCATCTCCGCGCCGCAAGGTGCCGTGCGGCTAGCCATGCATCGAGCCAGGGAAGCGGCAGTGTTTGGTCAAAGTTGGCAATCCACCTTGTCCTACGCTTCCGGTCTCATCAAGCGGCACACTTGCAAATTTCACGCCGTCCTCATGGGCAATTCGGACCTGATCACCGACGGCTTTGCGGACATCACGTTTGTAGAGGATATCAAGGATTGGGGCGGTACTAGCCACATCATGCCCGGAAACCATCTCGTGGTGCAAGAGCAGCCGGACAAGCTGGGTGAGTCAGACGTCTGGCTACGCGTTCTTGATGCACAGCGCTCATTCGCGCTTTCGCGCCCCTGCTTTCAGGCGAACATCTCGCTACAGTGCTCGATGCGTGGTACGCACATCGACCCAGCTTCGAGGCTAGGTTATGACACCACTGTCGTCGATGCTGGACATCCAGGAACTCACACGCAAGACGAATAGACGCCCTCGCACTGCAATCACAACGCATGCCATCGCCTTCACATTGCCCGAGGTATCAATGACGCGAACGTGCTGCATCTTCCTGCTCTTCCCCTCCGCTTCTATGGCGATGAGTCCAGAACAAAGCCAAGCTGCCTAGGGCAGCTCCCAAAGCGCAGCCCGCTTTGGCAAGCCAGACCGCTTCTGGGTGACCCTTCTCGAGACCGAAGCTGTACACTGCCGAGGCTGTCAAGGGTACTAGGGTGAGGACGATGGTGCTAAGAATCTGGTTGGCTTGGATCGCTCTGGTCTGCTCTGAAGATGGGAGGGTATTGACCACCAGGGCTGTCCGAACGGAAACGGTCCCCGAAGCCAATTCCAGCATGATCACGCCTGGGATCAATAGCCTCCATGGCGGAATGTCAGGTGCGAGCGTTGCGCTCGAAAGCAAAGTCGTAGAGTCGGCGTGGGAATGAGAAAAGCGTCTGGCGAGCGCGATGAGCGTAAATGCTGTCGCGGCTACCAGATAGGATGCCAAGAGGATCACAAAGTCCAGCTTGCCATAGCTTTCCTTATCCTCTTCCTCATCGTCTTGACGCAACAATGGCGTAGTCTCGCCGGATGCAGCTCGAGCGTGGGCTTCGCGCTTGCTCTTGGCTCGCCGTGCCACACGTTTGCGAGCCCACGCGATTGAGCGAGGAAAAATGAGCGTGAGGTAAATGGCGCGTGTGCCCTGGATGAGGGTGACCAGATAGCCATTCTGCACAACGTCAAACCCAAAGCTGTCCGAGTTGTAGAGCAGCAAGAGCGGCACGATGAAGATTTGAAAGGCTTCGTCGAATACTGTAATGAGACCGAGGTTGAGCAAGCGCAAATCCCACGTCTTGTCGGGTCTGCGCCGAGGAATAAAGATGCCGAGAGGACTAAGGATGTTGAGACTCGACGCTAGACGCTGCGCGGCTCCTGCCGTAGACGAGGTGGTGAGAAAACTGAATGTAGATGCTCGTCTGCTATCTCTCCAGTTGCGCTGCTCATTGCTGCCCTGTTGCTGACTACCCGCCGAGACGTTCGACGTGTTCCTTTGGTCTTGTTCCTCATGTATCTCCCTCTCGGCTGAGTAAGCTCCAGCTGTACTCTCGTCCGAGCCGCCCACGCGATGCTCCCAATCATCGATGAACGTGTGAACATGCTTTCTCTTACTTTCGGGTACGAATAGCAGCACATAGAGCACTGCAGTGGAGAACATGGCGATACCGCCGTAGAATGGCGCAAAGAATTGGCCTGTCGCAGCAGCGAGCCATCCACCCAACGTTGCGGCTGGAAAAGCGCCCAATTGACCAAAACCTTCGATGAAGCTCAGCGCGCTTGCTCTCGCCGCTTCGCCTGTGCAGTCCACCACGTAATTTTGCACTGCCATCCTTTGCGGAGCGCCGGCGCTGCCTTCGGCGGCAACGATCCCAAGCGCGACCAGTGCGGGTGCTAGATAAGCTGTCAGTCTGGGCGACAGAGGAAAGGTCGCGTAACCAAAGACGATGACCAGATTGGAAAAGAGCAAAATCGGCTTTCGTCCAAAGCGGCGGGATAGAAAAGTCGCTCTTCCCAGCAGAATCAGCGACAGTATTGCGCCCGTTGTGGCCATACTCGCTGAGAAGGCAGACGTGGCTTGGGGCACCCATGGATCGGAGCAGGCGGACGATGTGGGCAGATGAGGGGTGGGCGGCAACCAAGACCTTGTTTTCTCAAGCAGGCGCAGCTCTGGACTCGCTAGCGTGGCTGACGAGACATTCCAGAGACCTGTGAGCAATTCGTTTGCTCTCTGGTGGTCGGGCGCTTGCTGTCCTGTACGCGCAGCGTGTACACGACACATGAGGAACGTGTAGAGGCTGTACACGCTGGGAAGTACCAGACCCTGGCCCAAGGCGCTCAAGAGAGCTAGGACGGCCATGTGATAAGCCGTAGCGTGACCGCTCGTCAAGCCTCGCCAGGCGTCCGTCAAGCCGAAAGCAATGCCATCGTCGTCGTCGTCATCGTCGTCCTGCTCCTCCTCCCCCTGACGCTGTTCCGCTCGCCCTTCGTCAGTAGAGCTTGCTTGACCACGTCGTTCTCGAGAGTCACCTTGGGTGCCACCGCCGCTGGAAGCCTGCCTGCCGGATCTATCGCCGAGTCGTTGCTTGCCATCTGGATGATCCCCGCCCTTGTAGGTGGATGCATATCTGGGCTGTCGAGGACGTGGACGGGCAGGTCCGGTCCTTCGAGCACCTTGACTCATCTGCTCCGTCGTGGCAGGGTGAGAGTGGAAGGCTTGGTGTGAGTGAGCAGAGGCCTCGTATGAATGGACCTGGAGGCGAAGCACGAAGCAGGTTGATAGGGTGAGGAGAGGCTAGAGAAGAGAAAGAGACTGGCACTTTCACTCGACGCTTTCCCAGGCCCCTTCGGACAATTCTTTTTCGTGTTTCCAGATCTGTGCATCCGCCGCCGCCGCCGCCGCCGCCGCCGCCCGTCGTCGCCAACAAGACATGACGTCCCTTTCTGCTGCTGCACCCTACAGTAACCCTCCCCATCTCCACCCCGCCACGGCGGTACCTCCTGCTGCTCAGAAACAAAAATCACAAATCTCATCCTCATCTCCGCGTGTGCGCGGCACCCCAGCATGCACGCTTAGCGCATCGCATATGAAAGTCACGAGTAAAGTGCCTGCTGCTGCTGCTGCTGCTGCACTCACAGCACTCGATCGTGACTCACGGCTGATGCGCAAGCCACAACAGCGGCAGCAGCTGCAGCACACATGCAGGATTCAGTCACTCGTCAGCAATAGCAGCGTCGTGAGGGTGCCGGTACGTATACTTGCATGCTTCACTTGCCTCCTCCCGTCATGCCGCACTCCACCATTCACATCATATTCACATTCGTGATTGCATGCGCGGTGGTCCAAGCTTTGCACGCGCAGTCTCATTCACCATCATCATCATCAGCTCCTGCCTGCAGCTCGTCTAGCTGCGCTCGCACCCACTCTAGCATCACCATGGTCACACTTCAACGCTTCGCCAGCCTATGGCTCGTCCTCGCGAGCGTGCTGAGCTTCTCTCGAACGACCTCAGCTTCGCCACTATTCGGGCCATCCTACCACCCCGTGGTCATCTGGCACGGTCTAGGAGACTCGGCCTACTCCGAAGGCATGCAATCTTTTGCTCAATCCCTCAAAGACGCTTTTCCAGGCATTTTCGTCCACCTAGCGCACGTAGGCGACGATCTCTCTTCTGACCAAAAGGCCGGCTTCTTTGGCGATTTGAGCAAACAGCTGCCACTGATCTGCAAGCAGATCGAAGATGTACCCGAATTAGAGGATGGATTCGACGCGATCGGATTCAGTCAAGGCGGTCTGTTTATGAGAGCGTACGTGGAGAGGTGCCAGAACGCTCCTCCGGTGAGAAATCTGGTCACTTTTGGCAGCCCTCAGAATGTGAGTCTCGGTAGAAGCGTCGTGTTCAGAGGCAAGGTCTGTCCAGCGATCGTTATCGCCCCGACTTTCACACGCGCGCACCCATCTGGCTGGCCATGGAGCTGAAAACTTCCGTGTCGCCTCGTGCGTGACTCTCACACACCGCACAGGGCATTAGCGACCTTCCAGCTTGCACTGGCTTGCTCTGTCGCCTTGCCGAGGGTGCTCTTCGCGGTGGAGTGTACACCGACTACGCTCAAACGAATGTAGTGAGCGCTCAATTCTACCGTGATCCTCGCAGCGAGACGGGTTATCCAGCCTACTTGGAGCACAACCGTTTCCTTCAAGACATCAACAACGAGGTCTCGATCAACAAGGACTACAAGAAGCAGATCATCAGTCTGGAATCCTTGGTTTTGCTTCAATTCAGTCAGGATAAGACGATTGTGCCAAAGGAGAGCAGCTGGTTCGGTGCCTATCCCCTGTACAACCAGACCGAATCGGAAACCGCAGACGAGCCAAAGGCTCAGCCTATCCCGCTCAAGCAAACTGCGCTGTATACGCAGGACCGTCTGGGCCTCAAGACGCTGGACAAGCGAGGAGCTCTGGTCCTCGACGTCTGCAAAGGGTGCGTGGCTAGCGCTTCGCCGAGACGCGCGCAGCTTCAATCTTCCCCCCCAGATGCACTCACACTGCCCGCTTCTTCTCTTTCTCAGGCAACACATGCAGATCGATGTGGCGTGCCAACAGAAGGTGTTTGGCACGTACATTGGCACACCAGCGAGCTTCCGTCTCCTGCCTCGACCCATTCGCAATGCCTGGGCGTACTCATTGTACAACACTACGGGCCTGCGCGCAGCCTCGATGCCACCAGCGCTCAATCTGCTCCTCTTCCTGACGGCAATCACCCTCATCAGGACCGTGTACCTTCTCGGCACTTTTGCACGCGCTTCGTATCAGAAGAGGCAAGAGGGCCAAATACGGCTTGCCTGAAGTGTACGACTCGTCCGTCCCTCGTCCGACTCAGTGTATCACGTACTTGCCACGATCTCCACTTTTTCAATCACATCACCTCAAAATCCAAGACCTCATCGCTGCTGAGCGTTGATGATTGCAATGTGGGTGGTTACCGTGCATGCATTCGACCGTGTTCGGTCCACGTCGAGGCTGTGGCCGTTTGAAGCTACAACGCCGCCTCACGGGCTCTAGGGATTTGTTTCCATCTTCTTATGCAGCGGGCTTCTTGATGCTGTGAGGAAGGGCTTTACATGTGAGCTTCGAAAAGATACTCCAAGTGAAGAGGGAGTTGCGCGGCGGAACTCACTTTCGCTCAGAAGCCTCACGGATGGCCCAAGTGAGCGCTGGAGGTAGGGAGACTTGGTCAATTCGTCGAGTCTTTTGCGTCGTGGGGATTAGCCGCACTCACCATACGTCATGGCGGCGTCTTCGTAAGAAGAGAGGATAGGCGCAGAGCCTGGGCCCTTTTCGATGTTGTCGATCAAGTTTGCGACCTCGGAAAAGAATGGGTCATCGTTCTGGTACCTGATGACCTCTTCGTGATCATCTCCAGGTCGGCGCAGGTACAAGACAGGGGCATTGTATGGGTCCACGAGTCTCAAGCTGTATCCGTCGCAGATGACGTCCAATTCTGAGAGCATTGGAGGCCATGTCAGCCAAAGTATACTCGATCACTCGTGGTGGGGGCGGCACGCTCACCTGTCGCGTAGTTGAAACCGTGCAAGGCGACGGCGTGGGTCAAAGAGCCGACAGCGCCAGATTCGTACTTCCAAGAAGCACATGTGATACGAGGAATGCGCTGGTCGGGCGTAATTTTGTCCTCGGCGATTGGGACCTTGGCAAGCTGGCCAGCAGGCTCAAAGTGCTCCAGCGAATGCGCCATGACGGTGCTCAGATCCACCTCTCCTCCAAAGTATCGCGACAGGTCACAGAAGTGCGTCGCTTGTTCCACAATGGGACCGCACGACTGAGCCTTGTCCCACCAGTGGAAGTTGGCAGTATGCTCGTAAGCCATGACGTAGCGCGCGTTGGTGGCCATCACCTTGAGGTTATTCTCCTCGATGATCGCTTTCATCTTTTGCACTACCTTGAGGTATCGAAGCATGTAGCCGACACTGACAATATTGCCAGCGTCTACCAAGCGCTTGGCAACATTGAGCGCTTGGTCCACTGGTCCAGTCGAGACAGGCTTCTCGATGAAGATTCCTACATTAGGGAATGCGTCGATGATCTGCTTCTCGACGTCGCGTCCCTGCTCCTCGCGTCCACGGAAAGCGGGTGGTGAGCCGACCCAAATGGCGCTATTGGAGAGGGCTCATCAGCGCCTTGCAGATACTGAGCTCACATCATAGCTCAAACACTCACCGAGGGGCGTGCTCTGGCTTGTGCTTGTCGATAAAGTCCTTCATCGTGGGGTACACGATCGTATCCTTGTATGCACTCAGCACGAACGAGTCGCGCTTGATCTGTAGTGCTGCGTCGGCTCGTGCTGCTGAGGGGTCGATCAGAGCCACAACTTTAAGACGAGGGCCGAGCTTGTGTTCGAGACGGAAACTGTGGTTCCAAGGTCCCTCGTCCGATCCGAAGTTAATGTTTCCGCTACGATAGGGAGGGCGCGCTAGATTTAGGAGGCAAGGCAATTCGCAAATTTTCGAGCCTTGCTGTGCGAGACTCACGCTCCTACTATGACTACGTTGAAGTCATCTCCTGGCTTTGGTGGAGTCTGCTTATCCATCGCAGTGACGGCATGAGGATCGAACTCTCCGGAGGAGGTAACTGCAGCCGCAGGGGTAATTGCGCTCGAGTCGAATCGCTTGAAGGCTGGATTTGCAGACTTGACAGCGGCAGCCACGCCCAGACCAGCAGCTCTGGCGATCCCATTGCTGCCTGGCAATGCCCGAGATCGCAGTGAAGAGAGCGCTACGCGCTGGACAATGGGAGTGCGGAACATCTTGAGCTGGACGCTGCCGCAAAAGATAAGGTTGAGGTGGGCGACGGGTTTAGATTGTAAGAATCGCTTGAGTGTGAGATTTAGAAGAGCGAGCCACACTTGAGAATCCAGAGAGCGCGTCTCGCGACGATGTCGATGACGGTGAGCGTCACGAGGAGAGGACAACCTCACACGCTGAGCGGAAGATCTGTTCGATGCCAACATATCTCAGAGCCTGTCGCTGCTGTTCGCAGCACCATCGTCAAGTTCCTGCAGTCAACCCCGTATGCACCTGCGTGCTGCAGTTGGCGCCAGCGCAGACGCCTCCCATGCAATGCACGTCGCCTAGCTCACACAACGCACCGATCATGACCAGCAGCATATGCTAGCCTGCTCGTGCCTACATCAAGATCGAGCTCGTGCTGCATCAAGATCAGCTCATCGTCAAGAGGGAAGCAGAAGGCGGAAAGCAGAGGGTCTTGATCCGCAAGCAATCTCATCGCACCAGCGCACACAGCGTGCACAGCAGCAGCGCAGAACGAGTCCGTGCGCCCGCGCGCCGCGCGCTCAACACACAGCATATGCTGCTGCTTGCTCCGCCGCGGTGACCATGGCTGCCTACATGCATGCATGATTCTGCGTCAATATGCAATCAGCCGTCAGTCTGCCGCACACATCGCAGCAGAGGATCGAGGTTGAGGATCTCACACGCGCTGCTGCCGTGCAGCAGCAATCAAGTCTGCGCTTGACCCAAAAGTGATTGCTTGATGCCTTATTGCTTATAGGTGCACGAGCCAGGTAGGCTGACCTGCATGCCGCGATTGATGCGGGGGCGAAATGCAAGGCGACTTGAGCACCAGCAATTCAGCATGGCATGGCACATATATATTTAGACGAGGGTCTGCGCTGCTGCAGTCGACTGCGTGGCGCCCGCAGCTGGCTCAAGCTGCGCATATGTGGTCTGATCGTGCATGTGACTGCCGTGCCTCGGCTGAACTCGAGGTCGTTCGGGACACGTTATCCCGACACCACACTCAGCACTCTTTTGACCGGCTGACAACTGCATCACCCTCGCAACTGATGATGCCATCAATTTCATACCACGACATATATGGGGGAACGGCACAGAACCAGGCGAATTCCCATGAATGCTGCACACTACTTAGCAGTTCGACACTATCGGATCAGGCGATCTGCCGCCGCAGCGAGCCGGAGCAGGAGGGCGCTTGCTCGCTCATCATCGTGGCGCGGTCGACATGACCGACAAGCTAAGACTGAGTCTAGTCCTGCTCGTCGGATATAGACACCTTGTAGCGGCAGTCAGATTTATCGAGTAAAGCCTTGGTGGCATACTGAACTTCTGACGCTGGTATGAGGATTCGAGGAGATCCCTTGGGCGTGTGTTGCAGCACCAGATCCACGATGTCCAGGCCAGGAACGCCGTCAAAGTCTTTCAGGTCGGCTTCTGCGCTTCCAAATTGCTGAAGCTGATCTTCGAGCTTGTTGATGATTGCTCCGCATGCGCTCGATAGTTCAGGGCTCATAGTAGGTGAGAGTGCGAGGGCAGATTTCAGATCTGCGATCTGCCCTGGCACGTTGCGGTGCAGCGCCTCCTTGCCTCGCGCGGCCAAGCGCTCTTGATACTCTTTCCAACTCAGCACTCCGTTTCGCAGATCGCAAACATCAGGCCAGCGAGGGATGCTTCTGTCTGTCGTTTCGTGATTCACTGATCGCTGAATCATCTTTCGCCTCAGCTTCTCGCCGGGCAGATCTCCCACCACATCCTCCCATCTCAAAAGGTCGAGCAAATCGAGACTTTTGCACTTAGACAAGAGGGTGCGGGTCCCAACAGCGTGCACATTGTTGATCGCGAGAGCCAGAGGCGTGCAGCCAGCTACGTCTCTAGTCTTCAGAGCTCTGGCTACCGCCTCGTCGGGCAAGGCGAGCAGTTCCGCAGCTAGGCCGTCCTTCGCTACGCTGGACGAATTGATGTTCTGACCGTCCTGCAGCTCATCGAGATGTTTGGACGAGAGAAGCTCGTGCAGAGGTGTGCTGCCTCGTCTTGGCCCGGAAAGCGGACTTTGCGACACTAGATGACAGATGACGTCTCTGCCCAGCGCATCCTGCATCGCAGCAAATGCTTGCAAAGCAATACCAGGAATGGCGGTTCGTACCAGTGTGTGGAGAGCATTTAGACTGGGATAGCGTAAAGGATCCTCTTGAGCTCTTTTGCACACGAACAAAGATCAACGTGCATAGACTTACCCTTCATCATCCATTGCGAGCGGGTCGGTGCCATGTTTGACCAGCCATTCCAGTTCGTTCTTGAAGCAGCGAAGATCTTCTGCTGAGACCTCCGTCTTGCGAAGGAACTCGCGCAACACATAGAAGTACGGAGCAAACTTTGAATCTACGTCGCCGCGTAGCGGTGACTCCACCCACGAGGGTGTGAGAGAGGGAAATAGCTGATGCAGCAACTCGAAAGTGTCCAAGCGCCTGCTAGGTCTGATGGGCGATGCGGCGCTTCCGATTGGCGAGAGATACTTATCAACGTCGTCCACAGTGGCGCCTATGATCATAGCCAAGTGCTGCTCGGACTCCAAGTCAAATTGAGCGAGCGATCGTAGTTCTGTGTGAAGCTTACGCTGCGCATCGCCGTCCGCGAGGCCCTCTTTCAAATCGTTCTTGATGGCCTCGATACGCGCCGACAATAGGCAACGAACGTTTGAGTAATTATCTTGAGCCAGCCACCTGATACACTCGTGCGCTTGATATCTGCTCGCGAGCTCGAGCAAACGTGACGGAAGTATTGCAGCATTTCCCATGCTGCTTCTGGTCGGACCTTCTCTGGCCCAATCACGCTTGCGCCTTCCGTGCACGAGAAGCCCTGGATAGTAAGAGTTCGCGCTTTGCGCAATCAGGATCTCATCACCTTCCTCTTCCTCATCGCTTTCTGGCTGGGCACTGGCGGCGGTCTGATACGACCGTGTCGTGCGAAGCAGTACCCTCAACTGTTCGAATGAGCAACCTGCATGTACCAAATAGTGCTTGAACAATGTCGGTTTATCGCAAAGCAGCGCGAGCGAAAGACCCAGCACGAGACCGGCGCCACTACTTTCCAAGAACGGGTCTTCGTTTGTGCAAAACGGCCGCGAGAAGATTCAGCGAAAAGTTCGGCCTTGATCTGCAGCTCCACTGAGGACTATGCTCACCCTTGGTGCTTGCAGAGACTGCCGTCACCATCTCGCAGATGCGATCTGTCGACTCGGGATCTTTCTCGATGGCGCGCTTGACCGCCGGAATCCAGTCAATGTTGTCCACGAGGTCAGTCGGAGATGTGAGGGATTCCAAACTCTTCTGAGGCGGTTTTGCCGCATCCTCGTCAACCTGATCAAGTTGCTTCTTGGGCTCGTCTTCAACAATGTCGAGATTCGATTCATCGTCTGGATGAGAGCATGTAAGCGGGAAAGTAGCGCCTTCGATCTGAGTTGCACCAGTCAGACTCACCACTATCATCATAATTGTAACCCATCGAGTAAGAAGTCTTGGGCTGCTCCGACCTTTTAAACTGCTGAGCGCTGATGCGCAGAATGGTCTGGGCGACTTGCCACCTGCTGCAGCCCACTGCAACATCAAGTAGCGTCTGCTTGGTGCTCGGGCCTCGCAGACCGTAGCAGATCGCTGCGGGAACCTCTCGTTGCAACAATTTCGTCACTGTTTCATTTTCTCCGCGTACTACTGCATCGAAAACCCGGCGGCAGGTATCGATCTGGGCGACAGCAACGGGCTGCGAATTGCGCTGCATCGTGTAGTGTGTTCCGCCATTGAGCAGATAGAACTGGATTTGACTCTCTCCAAGCGAGTCAGCACTGGAGAGCAAGTCATCGACTACCTTCTTGCTCGCGTCCGCAGAGTTGTAAAAGAGCCGTCTACGTCCACGCAAATATTGAGACTGCACTTCATCTTTGAGTGGCGGCTCGAAAACGAGACCTGACCACGGCTTTGCGCCTCTCTGTAAAATTGCTCTTCGCGCTTCTGCCACAAATGTCAGAAGCGGGGCTCGATGATTTGATGGAGTCTGCTTCTTCGGGGAGAGAAGTCGCGCCTTGTCCTGCGCGCTTCGGAGGGCGAACTCGTACAAATTTTGAGGCTGGCCTTCCATCTTTTCCGCATTCGGTACAGCATTCCGCTCGTCTTCTCCAGGCGGAATCAAGCCATCCAACTCATCGAGAATGGAGAGGGGCTTGACAGGCTGGTCCGTCTCCTCATCTATCTTAGTGATACCGAGGTGCATCATGTGAGGCAGAGCGGTGATAGGGAGATCATTGTCAGCAGCAAGAAGCAGGTAGAAGCCCAGATTGGCTTGCAGCAGCGAAGCTGCGAGGGGCTGGATTGTTGTGACAAGGCTGCTAGCCTGGCATGTGACAGAAACTGCGGCTCATTAGCATTTGTCACCAAGACAAAGCCTTCGTGGCAAAGCTGCGCACCTGTACATAATTATAATTGTCTTTCCGCACAAGCGAGCAATTGCGGCCGGCCCCATATTCTTCGCCCGTGATGTGGGCTTTGGCACCTGCAGCTAGTAGCAACGCGGCCGTTCCGAGCTGACCGGTGAGGAGGGCGAGGCTCAGCGAAGATGTCACAGCGAAATCGCTGTAAGAACGACCTTGAAAAAGTGCAAAGGTGGCTGCAAATTCGGCACGCTGTGCATCCAGCTCCAGCAATGCTGCTACCAAACGCTGACGCCCTGCCAGAACGAAAGCCGTGAACGCAAGCATGGTCGACTTGACTTGATTGCGACTTGCTTTGTGCAGCGTCATCCTTGAGCTGGAGGAGCCGGCTGCTAGCAAAACTTTGATCACTACGATTGCAGCTTCGTCTTCCGGAATTAGCACAGCAGCCATGAGAGGATGCACCCCAGCTACTGCCATGTTCGGTGATGCTCCTGCGTCCAACAATATCTTGACTGTTTCTGGGTCTCCGCTCGTCACAGCGTAATGCAAGGCAGGCAGCCCAGTCTAGAATGTGTGCGAGAATACTTGTCAGCGTTGTGGCGACATGTGCCGCGGATCTTCAAACTCACATCCCAAGCGTAGTCCTCGAGCGCGATGACATCTGGTGTCTCGACCTCTTGGGGAATACCTTCCTGTTGAACCTCCTCGTTCCTCGACTTGTTTGGGCGCTTGACAAGCACAGCTTCGTCATCCTCTGAATCCTGGTCTTCATTCGCAGAGTGTCGATCTCCGTCGTCGGAAGCCTCATCTTCAGCATCACTTTCCTCGCTCTGCTTCTTGACTATCTGGGCTGCATCGTCGGAGGCCGATTGTGTGCGCTTCTTCTTCGTGGCATCCTTTTCCAACGCTGCAGCTTCGTTCGCGTTGCTTCTCATGAGCATGGATTGCACAACGGTGGCGTTGCCCTGCTCAGCTATCGAACTCGAAAAAGAGCATTTGTGAGTGATTTCAGAGCTTCTGACCTGCTTCTCGCACTTACCAGCTAAAATGAAGGCCGATCTGCCATCTGCGAGACGGGAAGTAAGACGGGCACCAAGCGAAACAAGTGTGACTGCGACTTTGGTCTTTCGCTCGAGAATGGCCAGATGCAAAGGGGTCCGACCCGATTGATCACGGCTGAGCAGCACCTTCCTAGCTGCATCTTCGCCTCCTGAGCACAAACGATGTATGCACTCGAGATCCCCGTCCAGCACAGCTTTCATCATCATTTGAGCGCTGGTCATGTATGCTTGCTGGAGAAAGGCGTGATTGGTCTTGTTGGCTGTTGTTTTATAGACGCGCCACTACCACCGCAACTCACCATCGTCCAGTCATCGTCGGTAAGGGGCTGGAAGGAACCGCTCATCAGCTGACGTCCAGGCTCCTCCTTGATAAATCTGTGCAGAGGGGAGCATTCTCAGTACAGCAACGATGCGGAGCTTACAAACAGGGAATTGGTGCGCACTCAATGCGCCCGCGGACATAGTCTTTGCACCGCTCTTCAAAGACTTCTTTCTGCTCCGAGGACTGCGCTTCCGGGCAAAGCTTGCAGCAGTCCTCCATGCACTCCTCGATGGTTCCAAAGAACGCGGGGTGTCTGTGTAGACCAAGGAGGGGTTTGTTCTGCGAGAAGATGTGAGTCAGAAGCGACGAGTGTGAGCGTCTTCAACCAACTCACCTTCTCGTTCCACGCTGCGTTCAATACAACATCGGTCCGATAAAGCAGCTTTTCGATTCGAGCGGCCTGCCATCTGGGACCATACGGCAAGTGAAAAGCTGTGCTGGGAGCATCGTAGTTGGACGTTGCAAGGCTTGCAAGCCATTGTCCTCGCTCAGTCCCCTTCTTCAAATCACCTGAAAGGGTATTGCGTTGGCGAGACCACTTTTGCTGCCAGGAAAGCTCTGGTCGGGACCTGTCCTTGCGGCGCTGATCCAAGAAAGCATCTCTGTCGTTCTGGCTCCTCATCTTCTCAAGGACTAGCAATAGTGCGAGGCCTTTGATGCCGAGCGGTGTGCGCTCGTAAATAGAGGGATCGATGTCGGCGCGGCGCAAATGAGGCACGTAGATCTCAAAGCCGCGCTCCGCGTACTTGGTTAGGCGCACCTCGTATGACGGAGAGCGTCTTGTCATGTCAACAGTGTTACTCTGGGTGATCAGACTGATCAAGGCTCGAGGTGCGGCCAAGACTCGCTTGCCGTCGAAACCGACTGCGGAGCTGTCGACATCAAAACCCATCAGGATCTCTGCTGGACTAGAGTAGAGTCGAAGAACAAACTGCACGTGACGGTGGGGGTACTGGCTTACCAGAGTGATGGCATGTTTGGAGCGAATGCAGGTGATATCCCACGGAATTGCGTCGGCGATGAGCTGAGCGATGCGAGCGATCTTTGCTTTGGCAGTCTCGTCATCGGCCATTCCGTACAGAAAGACGTCAATGTCGCTGCCACGGCAGGGCCCACGTTCGTGCAAGTAACGACGTAGTTCGCGTCTGGACTTTTTGCACTCTTGTGGGAGCGGCGTAAGCGCCGCAAGCACCGACCCGCCGGCGACGAGCACCCCTTGCCAGTCCTTTTCGTGCAGCAGCGCGAAGGCGTTCTCGGTCAGTATGTTGAAAGCCTCACGAAATTCATCTTGACTCGCAACGGCGGGGCTTCCATGCGGCCGGCGATCCGACTCAGGCAGAGGGAGCACGTGTTGAGCATCCGTGCGTGTGGGATTGGTGCGTGGTCCACCGGGAATAGCGACAATTTTGGGCTGCTGACTCGATGCATCTGCCTCGACCAGACGTCTTCGTGTCTTGAAGATGGATCCGTTGGCGTCCGCGGTTGCCTCGCCATGCACATCGACTAGGCCGACGCATGGAGCCAAGGCTTTGATCTCTAGGCTCGTGCGAGCTTGAGCCCATACGCGGCGCAGATCTTCCTCGTGCTATAGATGTTGCAAGGATGTCAGCTAAGCAGCATCGCTAGACACTTGCAAGACCCGTAGGCTCACTCGCCTTCAGGCTTGGAGACAACGCAGAGTCGACATCGTCGCGAGGCTGCGCAGTGGCCTCTGGTGGGAACTTGATCGCAGCAAGCCGGGCGAGGAAGGCAGCACCCTCTTCTGGCTGTCCTTCCGGTTTACCTTTGCTCAAAGGCTTTGAAAAGAAGGACATTCTGACTTGCACCACCCGGGACGAAGAAGGCAGTCTTACAACGGATGATCGTGGTGGCGGAGCAGCTCAGTATTGAGGTGCGCAGCTGCCTTTTTGACGATCCGATCGAGTCGTGATACGAGCGCAAGTCAAAAAGTTGTGAGTCTGCGTGCGAGCTGTTGATGGACGGCACGAAGCAGGCCAAATCACAAAAGGGTGCTTGCCATGCATGCATGCACGTACTCTTCTATCTGAAGCCCATACCTGCTGTACCAGTACCTGAAAGCCGTGCCTCCATCTGCCGTACATATACGCTCCGGTCGAGAGAGGGAACGAGAGCGGGGTCATGCTCACGACACTACCGTTGCTCAGCTGGCTGCGCCTGGCTGGCTGGCGATGCAGGCATCGAAGCTGCGACTTGCCGCTGCAGGTCCCACAAGCGCTTGCATCGCCAAGGCATCATTCGTGCTTCGTGCTTGGGATTTTCGATGCCCAATCTGTGCGTGAAAGGGAAGCAGCATCGACTCTACCTTCCGTAAAAGCGATGAGAGGCCCACATCAACGTGTTGCTCGCGCTTTGCGTCGGTCTGAGCAGGATGTGAGGATTCGCATTGCTGTGCCTACCGTCGAAGAATTAAGCTGTGGCGGAGATCGAAAAAGGCGAAGACGTGGGGTGGGGGACGTGGGGGACGTGCGAAACGCAAGCTGCTGCTGCTGATGGCACAACAAGACGCTTGCATCCCTTAGCTGCTCATGCGCAGAAGACGCACACGGCCATGCAAGCTAACCCGCTGTTGCAGTCACAGTCACAGTCACAGTCACAGTCACGAGAGCCCGCACGCAACCATTCCTTCACTTTCATGGACGTGTGCGGTAACCTGGGACACTCGTGACTCACCACTGGCGTTTCACGCTGCTTGGGAACAACAGCATCAAGGTCACCACCCTCGCGACCTTTGCACGCTGTCGTGAGAGTAGCCGAAGATCTGGGTCGCAATGGATGGGCAATCATGATGACGATGCCTCGTCCCTCGTCCATCGAGACTCGTGACGATTGTGGTGGATGTTGCGAGATGTACGAAATGGACTCAGCAGTGCAATCACGAATGGCCTCCGCAGCAGCCGCTCTCCTAAAGGTACAGCAGTGTGAGTCACAGTGGTCACGAGCACCGATATCTCCGCACAACATACCGCGGTATATATCCTCTGACCGTCTTCACGACTGCGTGGCTATGCTGTGGGTGCAAAGTCTGGCAGGCGGTTTGACCGAGACCCTGCGCCCGCTGCATATATGCTGCCGCACGTCCGCGCATGAAATTGACGCACATGATGATCGACGATCAACGTCAGTCAAGAATTTGGGCGAAAGATGACATCGATCACGCAGTTGGGGGCCAGCAGGGTCAAGCAAGTCACAAGTCGTGAGCCGTGATTCACGATTGCACGAGGTGATGGAGTCAAGAGTCTCGCGCGGTTGGATTGATGGACGTCAGGTCGACATTTCAGCGTATGCAACTTCGCGCGTCCTCCCAATAATAATCATACCTTGCAGTCTGAGCACTCTTTACATCCATCCTTTCAACGATTCCCGAATCTCTGATTTCCTCCACAGACCTGTCCCCTCTAATCGTGAAGTGTGACTGCAACGCTGCCACCCCAGAAGGGCGCACGAAATGACTTCGAGTAGATTCCAGCCAGCTCAACTCTACGACCTTTCTGATCGGGTCGCTCTCGTGACCGGAGGAGCGACGGGTATCGGATTGGCGCAAGCTCAGGGCTTGGCAGGAGCAGGAGCGCGCGTGTACATTGCCAGCAGGAGAAAGGAAGTGGTGGAGAATGCAGTGAAACAGTACGGCTTTGCAGGCGGTTTCGAAGTGGATGTGACGAGCAAGGAGAGCATCCAAAAGCTAGCGGATGATTTGAAAGCAAAAGAAGGTCGTGCTGATATCGTCATCGCCAACGCTGGAGGAGCGGGACCCACGCACTTCGGTGCGGATACCAGCTTTCCCGACGGAAGCATGGACCCAGCCAAAAAGCTGGAAAAGGTGTCGGCTGAAGAGTACTCCAAGAGGATGTTGCAGGCCAACTCGTTTGAGAATTGGAACGATCTGTTCAGCCTCAATTCGCACTCCATCTTGTTCACCGCCATCACCTTGTTGCCTCTCTTGGCCGCCGCCTCGGAAAAGGCCAAGCAGGAGGGCAAAAGTCACACGAGCGTGTTCATGTCGACTGGATCCATCAGCGGAGTTGTGAAGCAAAGCCAGATGCACTACGGTGGGTTGGTTCCGCTGACCCTTTTAGGGCTTCGTCGTGCGTCTGCAGCACCTCGAGCTGACCCTCTGTACAATCACGTCGTAGCCTACAACGCATCCAAAGCCAGCGCAAATCATGTGAGCAATCAAGTCGAAGCACGGTCATCTGGGCTTTGAAGGAAGTTGACCGACCATCTCTTTTGCTCGTGCTGCAGCTCACCGAGACCCTAGCGTACGAGTTCACGACGGCGACGACGGCACGCGTACGGGTGAATGGAATCCTGCCTGGAGGTGAGTCTGGCGCTCGCTGCCACTTGGGTTTTGCCCTTGCGCACACAAAAGCCGCGAGTGCGCGCTGACGACCAGTCTACTACTCGACAGTCTTTCCGAGTCAAATGACGGCGGACAACAAAGACGAAAAGACGAACAAGAGCGATTTGAGCGACAAGCTTCCCACGTGAGCATCATCAAGGGAGCTCTCAATTTCAACACATGTCATGCATGTGCCGATCTGACGCTCAACACTCCTAACCGCCCGCCGCGCAGGATGAACGTTCCCGTTGGTAGACCGGGAACAGAAGAGGAAATGGCATCTGCAGTGATCTTCCTTGTGAGTCATTCTCGCTGATGAGGCAGCACCAGCTCGCACAGGATGAAGAGTCAGTGCTCACGACGTTTCGTGAACACGGCTTCCGCCCGACAGGCATCCAACGAGTACATGTCCGGCAGTCTCTTGACCGTTGATGGAGGCTTCACTGCGTACGCACCCTGATCGCATGTAATAGCTGGTGAGACAAGCCTACATCTCAAGCCTCATATTGGTGCGCACGAAGATGGTGTAGATAAATGAAATACAAAAGTGACCCGTTATGGCGTCCGTGTGGTGGGTATCGAGCGCATCCGATCCTTGTCAGTCCAGTGTCCACACAGCGGTGATGTGCGAATCGTGAGTCCGAACGCAAATGTCTGATTTTCGGCGCCTCTATGCCTGCGTCTTGGTCAGCGTAGTGTCCGGCTCGGGCGGCGGGGTGAGATGAGGAGCGCGCGTAAAGCTGTCTCTGATGGTGCTGGCCAACTGCAGTAGACCCTGGGCAGCTACCCTCAAGCTCCAGCTGCTGACATTACGAAGCCGCTGCCCATTAGCTTGCTGGCTGGTGACGTGATTGGCTAGTGCTTGATAGATCTTGTCCGACACCACTGGCAGCAGTCCGGTTTGCGCTAGGTCCATGCTCCCGTTGAATTCCGACAAGTCCATGACGACTCGGCAGTGCACTGGAATCAATGTGCGATTGGCATTCATGAAGGCGACGATGGGCCTGACGAAGGTCTGCGTTCTATACCCCAAAGCAGAGTGAAACAATGGAACAGCTGCCTTGATGTCGCGAAAGCGCACATCGAGATCGATAACGACCGAAGGCGGCGGAATGCTTGGCGGTATCGGGGCGGCTGCAGTGAGCTCGTTGCTTACGGAAGGGACGCCTTCAACCTCAGTCTCGTCCTCGGAGTGAGACCCGATCTCCTTCTCCCTCCACCGCCGCCGACTGAAGCGAGCTCGACGGCTTTTCCGTTTTGACATTTCCTCGCTCTCTTGGGCAGCCTCCCTCTCACGCTGAGAATGCCGCCAAGCCTCTTCAGCTGCTGGACCGACGGCTGTGACTGGCGCTTCGATGGCAGGTCCGCTCAATCGATGCTGACCCGGAATTGGCTCGTCGTCATCACCAGCGCCTGGTGCGCGTTCCCAAGGATCACCAGAAACAGCGTGGGCGAGGTTGTCCACGATTTCCGAAATGATCGCATTGATGTCAACGTCAGAGTCGAGATCGCGTGGGAACTTGATGTCGGCGACCACTGCGGCAAAGGTCACGATGCCAAAGCCGGCCCGGTAGTCAGCTTGGAAGAGCGTGGCACAGCAACCATCAGAGCGCGCCACTCACCGTCAAATTTGCCGGAGTTAATCCAGGAGACAGGTCCGTGCAGGTCGCTTTGGTTCTGAATATGATCGAAGCTGACCCCATCAATCCTTACACGTGACTGCAGTAGAGTGCGTGTGAATGAGTATAGGTCGAAATTCGCGCGCTTCCCTGAAGACGAAACTCACGAGAGTTCGCCACCTGCCACGGCGACTCTCGGCATCCTTTTCGGTGCTCTTTCCCACTCTCTGAGGTTTGTGTAGGCTAAACAAGCAGCCATCTACTTGCCCCGTGATGCTGTCAGCACCCAGCAGATCGTAGAACAGCCATTGCTTGCGCAGGCGAGGTACCACCGCGCTGAAGATGCTGAAGTTGAAGGGTCTAAAGTCTCCAGGTTGGTAGACTGTCACTAACAGATCTTCGAGCACCAAAGAAGAGAGGTCAAAGTCACCCGGCCGAGAGGTTCTACGCGCTGCGCGAGGGTCGTATGGCTTGTCGGAATCCCAGTGGACATTACGTCGATCTGGGTAGGTGCTTGCGCGCTTCAGCAACAATTTTGAAATGTGGCATTGACGCGCGCCAAGACTCACCAACAATGCCCCTGACGCCTCTGACTACGGCGTCTTCAACTAAGCCTTTGCCGTCCCACCATCTGCTGAAGCTGAGTGTCACGTCGATAGAGTCGACGTTGAGATCAAATTGCGTAAAGTTGCCCTCATCCTCGCCGCCTGTCGCATCTTCCCTCATGGGTGGGGCGACTTCCTCTCCAATGCCCTCCTCGTCATCCCGCTCTGTCCAGTGCGTGCCCTCCCAAGCCATTCCTTGACCAGCTGTATGCGCTGTTCTGCTTTGTCCCATACCCTTGGCTCGCGCTTCGAGCCTTGCTCTGCGCTCCTCTCGCAAGGCCTCGGGATCTCCGAGATGAGCGCGACGACTCAGAAACACGTTCTGGAAGGAGATACGCGAGGTCGACCACTTCGGAACGATCGCTGACTCGAAAATGACGGTCATGCCGGTATGAGAAGTCAAATAATCTGCAATCCTTCGGGCGAAGAACTCTTGCAAGTTCAGCGCGTTCAGAGCTGCAAACACTAGCGACACAGCAGTTGTGCTGTGCGGATGTGGAAGCGCTATCAGACCATCATGTTGCGGATCTCAGTGCCATGCCATCAGACTGCTTCGCTACTCACGTGCCGACGACGATGAAAATGATGGTACCTAAACCGCCCAGTGTGAAGAAGGCACTCAGATCGTCGACATTGAATCGCCTGAATCCGCGAATGGTAAACCATTTGAAGCGGATACGTAATCTAGTCCAGAAGCCTCTCGCAAGCCTCAAGAGTTCCTCCTTTGATGGCGCTCTAGGTCTGGTCCAGCTTCCGCCGGGAGCACTGGAGTGACCAGAGCTTGAACCCGGGCTTGGTGAGTGTTTGTACTGCACGCCGCTACTCTCCGAATGTACTCCCCCGTCGCCAGAATGCTGGTGGTATCCACCGAAGGCAGCCCCAGCCGCTGCTGCGCGAGTAGCGAGCTCTCTCAAAGATCTGGGATAATTCTCGTACAAGCTCTCGGGTATCCTGGCATCTTCCTTCGCATTTGTGTTAGAAGATGCCACATGGCTAGCATCATGCTGACGAATTCTTTCAACAGCTTGATGATTTTGGACCGGAGGGTCATCGTGATCTCGAGCACGATTCGGTGAGCTCTGCGACATGTCCCTGTCAGCCATCTGGCGTTCGTTCTCGGAGGCTGATGGGTCGGGCGATCGCGAGGCACTTCCGTGACTCCGCCGCATCTGCATCCTTCCTGTGAGACATGTCGCACCAAAGTGCGCTGAGCTGCGTTGGAGCGAAGAAGACCCAAAAGCACATGTGGTGGGATCTCGGGAACGAAGCGTACCAGGAGAAGGGCCACGGACGGTCGTTGCAGGTGTCGCCGTGGTGTGTAGCTGATCGAGTCTCAAGGTAGCCGATCTTGTGAGTGCTTGATGATGGGGAGCAAGTGAGGATTGACGGAGAGCAACGTAGTACAGCTTCTGGCTGGAAGGGCCTGGCACTCCTAACCCAGGCCCTGCGAGCTTGAAGGTCCGCATGGCAAGGTTCGGACCAGTCGCGAAGCAGATTGAGCCTTGGAGAGCGCCTGTGTGGCTCGTTTCGGAACTCGAATCGCAACGAGAAGCTCGCGTAGTACAAGCGCAGGCTGCTCTGGCCCGGCGTTGCGGAAGGTTATTGTCCTCGGCTGCCTCCAAAGTTGGACGAGTCAGTGAGTGTGTCCGCGCCCAGCACTGCTTTGACTGGCAATCGTGAATACTCGTGCTCATTCAAAACGGAGACGATCACCGCGATCTTGGAGGGCAGGCAGCATGCGTGTGTTGACTTGCCAATCACGAATATGCTTCGCGCGCGCATGCTGCTCATGGGCCAGCTTCTCGTACGAGAGAGCGCCTGGCGCGTAGCAACACCGTAGAGCGGCACGCGTATCAGGCTCTCTTCCGAATCTCAGCCTCGCTGCTGGCTCTGGTATGATGTGTACCCGACAGGAGATAAATTCACGATTCTCATCAGTCCGTGAGTCACGAGTCAAGAGTCAGTCGGGAGTTACGAGTGAGAGGGTGTACGTCATTCACCATTCAAAATTGCTGGATGGGATGGTACATGAAGCGCGTCGCCCACTCAATCAGAAATCAGACTCAAGAAGCATGATTCTTGATTGGAAGAGTCTGGTCTTGCTATAGAGTTCATGATTCGTGTTTATTTATGACTTTACCTTGAACACGCGCAGCCAGCATAATGAGTGAATGGCAGGATGGTGCGACTCCTCATGCTGACTGCGCCCTACAATCCTCGAATCTTGGATCACAAGTTTCAATTGCGGTCATTTCGGACTCGTGATTCGAGTAAATGAAGGCACCACCCAGCCTCCTCATATAGCACTCACGACTGAATCAATCAAGGCTCCGGTGAGCCGCGTTGGCCAGGGCCTACCTCCATATAGCCTGCTGCCATGCATCCGGCACACCAGCGGGGTGCAGGGTGCTCCGGTCGGGAGTGCAAGAATTATGAGTGGCGCGATGCTGTTGGTGCCTCGGCGTTGCATGGCTACCACAACGCAGCCTGGACAGGATATCGTGTGGGTGTTCGGTATACATCATGTCCAGTCACCCACAACACTGCACGATTGGGTGCTGGTACGTGCTACGTGTGCGCCCAAGTCGTGAGTCATGAGTATGTTGTTGACTCACGACCGTGTTCGTTGGCTCTAGAGGCGCGCATGATCACTCGTGACTCTGTCGGTCACATTGGTCAAAATCGACGATTCTGAATACTCTTTGAGTGTGAATTCACATTCATCAAGATTCGAAATTCGACGATGAGGGCGAGACAAGCCATTCAAAGTCACATTCAAGATTCAAGATTCGAAATTGTGTGTGATATATGGAGGCCATCGCTCGCAAGGAAAAGCCCCGCGCACGCACACGCGCCTGCACGACGCCTCCTCTGGTGCCGTGTTGCCATACATGCAGTTGATTCTCGGCCTGATAGCTGATACGGACGAGCGCGCGCTGCGTGAACCCCTCTCCCACGCCCGCGCGATGGAATCAAGAGCCGGGGCTTCCGCGACCCGCGACATGGTCCTGGTCAAGCTGGCGGTCGTGGCTGCTGCTGCTGTCAGACCTAGGTCGTGCTGTGCGTGGTCTCCGACGATCACGATGTAGGCCTGCTTTATACAGCTAACATGGACAGCAAGCGCGTACAAGCTTGAGTCATGAGTCTTGAGTGCCGGGATGCTGGAGCGGGTGAAGTTTTAGTTCACGTGCACTGGTCCTCTAAGCGGTGCGACATGGCATGCATCAGCAGCAGCACTCGACTCAGACTCGTGACTTTAGTGCCTCACGACTGCTGGGAGAGGACATATTCAGCACATGCACGCAACGCACGAGAAAGAGCCGCATGCACCTTGACTGTGGCCGTGCCGCATCGTACCATAGCATAGCATAGCACACCTCGAGCGGGCGCATAGCGTGACGCAAAGCCGCTGCAGCTGCAGCAAGCATCGCGTCCTCGCGCTTCATCTATCTCCGCCAATGCACTTCGCGACTTCTCGCTCATACCGACTCTGGCTACCACTCTTAGCCTGACTGCTCTCTACCTCGTCGAGCTTGCAGCAATCCACACATTCCATTGAGCACAATCCGCGCTCGCTTCAAACGCGGTGTAGAAATCTTCATCGGAAGTTCTTCAAGACCTACCGGTTGCATCTCATCGACCAAGCTGGCGCTTAAGCGGGCTCCGGATCTCGAGCTGTCTGATTCAACGCGTCGAGTCAGTGCCTTGGCCACCTCCTCCAGGATCAGCCCCTTTGACCTTGGATGGCCAACGCACCCGCTCGACTAGCGCTGACATTGCTGTGACGGCTATCCGTACAGCTTCAGTAGTCGGCTATCCATTCTTGCGCCACGAATCGTTTCTTAGCCAGCAGTCCCGCATACAACCACAGAAAGCTGTCGGCCCGACTGTTATAGCTGCTCCCCTTCGCCTGCTCTTCATATACACGCGCGACGAAGAGGAAGCCTTAACGTCAGCTCACGAGCGCCAGAGTAGCTGGCGAGGCAGCTAAAGGGCAGTTCTGCGTCTGCTGCCTGCGAGACAAAGCTGCAAGCGGATCATGTTTGGGCCCGGCCCAAGCGGAGCGCCTGTTGGACTCACTACAACGTATCCCCCACAGCCGTATGCTCCACAATCAACAGGAGTGCCGCAGCCTCAGCACTCATTTAACATGGGACCCAGTATACAGCCTCAGACTGCTCCTGGAAACGGAGCCGGTGCGAACAACGGCACAACCACGATTTCTCGAAAGCGGCCTACATCACCAAGCAAAGAGGTCGTTGGCGGGAGCGCTGGAGACAAGCGGGCACGTGGTGACGCTGGCCCCTCAAATGCGAACAAGAGCATCAATCCGCAGCATCAGAGTCAAGAAGACTACAACAAGCTTGTTAAAAGCGTCCATGGACCGCTTCCCGAGACCGCTGCGTGGGGTGATGAAGCGACAAAGTCAGTATCCTTTGGCAATGTGCTGGGCACATTCCGCATCTGCTCAGACTGCTAATGACCCCGTCTTCACTATATGGGCAGGCTCGATGTGTACGTGTGGGACTACCTCACGCGGCGAGGGTTTCATGGCTCTGCGAAGACGCTCGTGAGCGAGGCTGGGATGGTAGAAATTCCCCAGGTCCCTCTTCGCACCCCTCAAGGTCTCTTGTTCGAGTGAGTGGCTCTCTCGGAAGCGACTGCCATCCGCCTACGGATCCCTCACCAATCAACTTGCCAATCTTCCCAATCCGTATTCCTATTTAGGTATTGGGCAATTTTCTGGGACGTTTTTGCCGCGCGCAATGGGCGAGGGTCTGCTGAGGCCACCGCATACCATGAGTTCAGAGAACAGCAGCAAGAACGTCAGGTGGCGACAAGGCGCGTCGAGAGCCAAATCGCTCAAGGTGTCCCTCCCCCAGAGACAGCTCGCTTCCCAAACATCGTTGTCGGAGCAGGAGGGCAGCCACGGAGCTCCATTGCTGGTGCGCCTTCAGCAGGTCCCAACGGTCTCGATCACAACGCAGGACGGCCCAACATCCCTGCTCTCGCTGCTTTGACTCCGCAGCAACAGCAAGCGCTACTGTTCAACGCTGCAGCCAGGTCGGGGCTCTCCCGAGAGGAAGCACTCGCTTTGGCGCCTCACACCAAGCTCGGACTGGTACAGGGTGCTTTGGCAAACGCTCGGCAAGGTATGGATGCTCAGAGTCGGATGCAGCAATCGCAGCAAATGCTAGGCAGGCACTTGCAAGCCCAGCGTCAACAAGGTGCGGGCTCGCCAGTAGCTGGGGGTGCGACCTTGCCAGAGCACGCGGGTGGCTCCGCGATGCAACGGCCAGGACAACCGCGACCTCCCCAAATGCCAGGTATGCATAGCTCTCCAGTATCGCAGCACTCAGGTATGGGCTTGCCACCCGGCGTCAACGCGCCCCACAATGCGCAAGGTGGTCCGAATGTGGATGGAAGGCGATCAGTGGGTCCGAATCAGACGCCTTCTTTACAGGGCAGTCATCCCGGCACGCCGGCGCCGAATCCGACGCAACAACTACTGCCGCCAGGTCTCTTGTCCCATGGCGGTCTCCCTCTTTCGGCATCGCAATCCGACATAGAGGGGCCTGACGGTCAGAGATATCCACTCTTGTCCAACCAGCAAATGTTCTGTGAGTCTCGAAGTGTCGCTTCCCGTTTCTTAGGTCTCTTGCTGAAATCTTTCTTTTGCACGCCACGACAGCCGTTATATCTCAAAATTCTCTCTTGATGCAGCAGGTACGGCAGCAGCAGCAACAACAACCGCCCCCCGGCCACGTGGTGGACGAGGCACAGCGTAGCAAGAACATCGCATCCTTGGAAGGAAGGCGTAAGCATCTTGAAGCTATGATCAAGGCTCAGCCCAACCACCAGGAGCATCTTAGGTTATGGCAGGAAGGGCAGATCCGACAGACCAAACAGGGCCATGCCTCTCCCATCTCCGCCGGAGGTGGCCCTCTGCACGGAATGAACGGGATGATGCCAGGCGCGAACCCCGGCAATCAGCCCGGTCAGCCACAGAGGGGACGCATGACACCGGCTATGGCGACCAGCGATCCCAATCTCATGATGAGCATGATGGGCGGAGGTGGTGGACCGAGTCCCTTGACGAATGGTATGCCAAGAGCCGGCCCACCAGGCTCCAATTTCGCGCAACACGGCATTAATGCTTTCCCTAATATGCAGCAGAACGGGCCCTCGCGAGACGGCTACGGTCCACCGCACCAGAATGGCCAGCCTCAGCTTGATGGTGAAGAGGGTGCTCAGCAGCGTACGCAACCCGCTTTTGCGAATCCCTTCGCAGCAGGACCGCAGCACCCTCAAGGACAGCAACAAGCGCAGTTTCAGCGACCGGGAGGAGCACCGCCAGGCGACGATCCTCAGGGAAGCAATATGACGCAGGCCCAGCATAGTCTTGGGCTTCCTGGCCAGCACCAAGGCGCTACGCCTGGGCCAAGCGGTCCACAAGGTCCACAGTTTGGTATTCCCCAGACGCAACGACCCGGAATGGCGCGCCAAGCAAGCGGAATGGGACCACCCACAGTCCCTGCCGCCAGCCCACGTGCGCAACCTGGCAACGTTGGCGCCTCACCTGCTTCGACCACTGCTGGCGCGACACCCAAGGGACCCGCAGCAGAGAAGAAGAAAAAGGAAACAAGAGCGAGGGTGAGTCAATTGATCGTCGAGATTCGAGATGACTTCTTTGTTGAGTGGACGTAGCTGAGATGCAAATTCACTTGCCCCCGAAATTTTGTAGAAAAACTCCAAAGCTGCAAATAAAACACCAGTCATCGGCTCGGCAAGTATAGCGACTGGCGGCGCCGGAGCCAACGCTGCGACTCCGATTGCGCCGACACCAGGCAGCTCGAGCATACCAACGCCCGGACGCGATGCGCTCGGCGCAGGCATGCCTGACAAGGGCGGTCCGCTCGCTGCTGGCGGAGATCCTACCAACTCAGATCCTGCAGGTCAAGCACCGCAAGCGGGCGGAGCCCCCCATCCAATGGACTTCCTTGGGACGAACGCTGCAAACGGCCAAGGCAACGCGTCCTTCGACGCCTCCAATCTGTTTTCGACCACCGCAGGGGCTACTGGCGCCAGTGGCCAGACAGATTCATCGGGCAACGTGGCGGACTTTTCCGCGATCTTTGCAAACGACCTTGGAGATATGTTCGGCATGGGCGACTTCGGCTCTGCCATGGGTGGCGAGTCTAGTCAGACAGGCAATGCGTCCCTCGCCAACACTACAGATTGGGACTTTACATCCGGCTTCTTCACCAATGACGGCGCCTGACTCTCTTCGAACTGCGCACAGCACGGGGAGCGAATCAGCAGGCCTGGCGGTTCGTCCACTCCCAGGCAAACACGACCACGATTTGATTTTCGCCTACAATGGCGATTTGCTTTGCCAATACCAGCACTTTCGGCTCAACGACCTCTTCAAAAAGCAGGCATGCCATCAACACTTCCGAGCCTAACATGCCCCATTTACGTGTCCGTTGCCGCCCAAAAAGGGACTTCCCGAAACACAGTTGATCGATCGACATTGAGTTCTTTCACCTCATGATCTCATCCCCTGCTTGCGCATGACCACTTCCACATGACCATCCTCCTTCCCTCGCTCGAATCGCTTCATAGCAGTCCGCCAGATCATTCTCTTCGCGTCGACACTGCCTATTCGCTCTCCCTTTCTCTTTTCTCTGTCTCCGTCTCTACGCGTCACGATTTGTATTGCTACGGCCCTTCATTGCCCCAGAAAGAATCTTTTTTCTACTTCTTGAAATGCGTCGCAGCTGTGGCTTGCGGGGTAGGTTGCAGGGGCTCGCCCGAGTGTGACTACAGGGCAGTAGGCTCTGCGTCCTGTTGACTCCTTTGTACCGAGTCTTGCTCAGTCGCCTGCCGACTTCGCTCAAAACATACAAAGATCCGATAACAACCATCCGTGATCATGCCAAATCATGTCGGTAGATTTAAAGCGAGCAGGGTTGCGGGAAAATGCGCAACACAGGACCAATTTGAGTCCGTGCACCCGCGGGCGTGCTGCGTGTGTTCTTCACGTGCAACACACACAAGGCTTGCCCCGGACCCGAAGGAAGTTCCGAGTCACGCATACTGGATTTGAATAATTCAGTTCAAGACGTCGGATTACATTCTTGCCGCTTGATTCTGATAGCCTGGAGTGCGAGTTCTCGTCCCAAGGCTCAAGCTTGCCCATTGATCCCCATCATCCTCAGACGCTACAAAGCCAGGCCAGACCTGCTGTCAAGCGGCCATCATTTGCAGGTGGCAGCCGATGATGATCGGAGGTCCAAGTCTGACGCTCTTGCGGAGCTGCGCGCGACCAAGAAGCAATCTCGAAGCTTCGCCCTTCACCCGAGCATCGCTCTCATATTGTTATCGGAGCATGTCTAGCAAATCCGAACGATTCGTGCATGCCTTGGACGAGCGAAATCTTCCCAAAGGCTTTGCGGTCTCTGCGACGTACGCAGGTATCAAAGCTGCCATTTCGCCAGTCGCTACTCCACCCGCAGCCAAGACCAGCAACCTGAACCCCAAACCAGATCTGGCACTGATCGTCTCGGCAACTCCAGCTGCAGCAGCGGGCTGCTTTACTCGCAACGCATTCAAAGCTGCCCCAGTCGTGCTATCGAGTCAATTGCTGATAGATGGTGCTGGCTCACCGGCCGGTGCCAGAGCTCGAAGCGTGCTGGTCAATTCAGGCTGTGCAAACGCAGTGACGGGACTCAAAGGATTTCAAGACGCTCAAGAGTGCGCTTCGACCATCGCCGAGCTCCTGCCTACTCCTCCAGCCGTGGCTGAGAAACAAGAGAGGGGCGATCTGCTGCCAAGAGGCAAGGAAACGCTGCTGCTCAGTACCGGTGTCATTGGGGTGCCTTTGCCCATGCAGGCCATCAAGAAATGCTTGCCTCACTTGACCAGCGGAAATGTGCTCAGAAACGACAAGGATGCTTGGTTGGAGACAGCCAGGGCCTTCATGACCACCGACACTTTCCCCAAGCTTCGTGCGCGGAGATTTGAGCTGGGTGGTAGAGATGTCAGCATCGTGGGCATTGACAAGGTGCGTTGCGCTGCCTAGCTGAAGGTTTGCAAGAGCGAGACACAGAGACGCGTGTATTGCAGTCTGACATTCGATGCCTGCGTCTGCGCCATCTGCTAGGGTGCTGGAATGATCCACCCTTCAATGTCGGGTCCTGTCCCCGCTCCTCAAGGTCTACATGCCACCTTGCTCGGCTTGGTTTGCACCGACGCTCCGATCGCTCCTCCCGCTTTGCAATCGGCATTGGAGCATGCCATGTCGCGTACATTCAACTGCATCAGCGTCGACGGCGACATGTCCACCAACGACACGATCTTGTGTCTCGCCAATGGGCTAGCACCCGATTTGGAAGGGGAAGCTGGGGAATTGGCAATAGCAGAAGGCGAAGAGATCACCAAGGAGGGGCATCCTGAAGAGTACGCCGTCTTTGAAACGGAATTGACAGAATTTTGCAAAGAGTTGGCTCATCTCATCGTCAGAGATGGAGAGGGAGCTACAAAATTCGTGGAGATCAAGGTAAAGAATGCGCCCACTTTCGAACATGCACACGCCATCGCTTCGAGCATCAGCACTTCCGCGTTGGTCAAGTGTGCTCTGCACGGGGGCGATGCGAATTGGGGAAGGATACTGTGCGCTGTGGGTTACGCCCCTTTGCCTCAGCTCGAGTCGTCAGCGCAGGAATGGCAAATCGATCCTACGCGGGTCACTGTCTCCTTTGTACCTCCAGAAGGCGCATCCGATGGTGGGCAGACACACGAGACACTCGTAGTGCTCAAAGATGGCGCTCCGCAAGCAGTCGACGAGGAGAAGGCAGGCCGCCTGTTAGCCTTGGAAGACATTAACATTGTGGTCGATCTTCAAGGCGGCAGCTTCGGTGCCGAAAGTGCTAAGGAGGAGGCTTGCTACTGGACTTGCGACTTTAGCAAAGAGTACATTTCTGTGAGCAAACGCTGAGTCACTCGAAGTGGAACGTGCGTGCATTTGAGCTAAGCGCCTACCTAAATTTCCCGTCCTGGCCTCGTGTTGTCTACAGATCAACGGCGATTACAGGTGAGCTGGTCCTGAAGGATGCAAAAGTAAAGGCCTTGTGGAAGCTCTTTGATCGCTGACCACGTCTACCATCCTCGTCGCTCGTCTACAGGTCCTGAATTTGTATCAGCCACGCATTACAATCTTACAATCACACATCCATCTCGCAATTGCACGTGTTGCCTGGACTAGAACCATTGATTGCCATGCCACGCGGGCTTCGCGGAAGGCGTCGAAGTGATCGTGGGATACTTTAAGTGCGCTTCCGCATTATCGCGGTGCGTCCGCATTCCTGAGCTGAGCGAATCGAGGTCGTGCCATGCTACCAATGAGAGCCGTGACTGGTCCTGGGCTACGCGAAGACGATGAAGTGCTCGAAGTGCTCTGAGCGAAGGTGGACCTGCCGAGAGAAGGCAAGTTCCAATCAAAAGAAGTCAGTTTTTGCTCCTGCCCTATCGTGTGAGACCCGCCTCCTATCACAGAAGCGAGCAGCCTTGTCTCGTAGCAATCGCTTCATGTGCGCTTGATGTTGCACCTCGCAGGGCTTCCACTTGGCAATCCCATGTCCCGGGCGGCAATACTCACGTGCTGAAGCCTCTCCTCTCTATCCTGTTGAGCTTCTTTGCGGTCCTAGCATTCGTCTGAGTCCTCTGACCTCTGACAGGAAAACCTTGAGCGTGTCTTCTTCCCTTATAAGACCCTACCGTCCTGTGATGCGTAATGTTGGCGACGTGCACCCGTCGAAGATCCGCTTCCAGTACGATTGACCTGAGAGGATCGTCTGCAGGATTATGTCTTTGGCTCGGAGGCAGCTTCGCGTCTGATGCAGAGCTACCCTCAGACCCGGAGCTTGCTCCTGGACCAGCCGAAGGCGAGGCCGAGGAAGAAGTGGAGCCGGAGTCGCTCAAGATGAAATTGACATCTGGAGTGGTGGGATTGGCTGGTCTTGCAGGGATAGAGCCTGGACTGGAAAGGTAGGCGGATAAAAGGTTGATCTGAGCATCCGTAAGGTTCTCTACTTTGGCATGTTTGTGCAACGAAAGACGAGAGCAAAGCTTGCTTGCTTGGCTGTAGCCTATGCCGTAGAAGGCTGTCAGGGCGATCCGCACCAGCTTGTCGTCTGGCAGGTGCGCTCCCAGAAGATACATCGTGCAAGCGGACCTCGCTGCTTGGATTCGCCAGAGCGAGGCTGTGGTAGAGTAGGGCAAGGGGAGCCAACACGTGCAGCGCGGTGTGCTGGATGGTGTGAAGATGGACACCAAGATGAGTGATCAATCATTATTGATTACAGTCTGAACGTTGGGTCAGAAGCACGCCTCTTTTGAGCAGCCAGCCTGGTGATGAGAAGACCAAGGATTTCAAAAATCACGTGGCCATCCCGCGTATGCGCCTTCCAGGAGCAGCAAGCGAGCGCGCAGCGCGTGATTGGGCATCGCCAGCCTGCGTGCCAGCTTCATAGCTCCGATTCGATGGTGCACCATCAACCACCCTGTCCATCACAAGTCACCAGGACTCTTGACTCGAGACTGCAGCATCACGCTCTACTCGCAGGTCATCGCACAGTCCTCTCAGACCACACTTTGCCGTTTCACAGCCTTCGACTTCGCACAGCCAGACACGATGCCTGTTCCCTGGGAAGCGATGATCCCTATGGGGTTGGTGGTGGTCATGTTCGGCGTCACTGGTACGGGTTACAACCTCGCTTCTCACATTGCTAATGGTGGAAGGGTGAGTGGGTCTCATCCGAGTTGCGGCATCTCGACATGAAGGGCAGCAGTGTCGAATTCGCCAGGATGAATCGGCATCCTTGTTGATGCGGCGTGAATGCCCTATCGGACAGCTGGAATTCGCCTGGTCGGGAGCTATGCACGTACGAGAGGTACCTTAGCAACAAGGGTCTCGCACGAGGATGGTTGCTCATACATGGGACGCATACTGCGAAGCGACCGCCGCCATTCGACCTCATTGTTCTCGTTACGTGACTCAGCACACCATCCAGGGCTAACAAATACTTTTCCCGCCCATAGCCATTGCGTCACAACATTGACACTTGGGACGAGATGATGATGCGCAGGGATGAGAGGCTGACTGGGAAGTATAGAGGGCAAAGTGTGAGTGGTACTAGAGCCTGACATCACCATTCATTCGAGGACGGGTCGGATGGTGAATCAGCAGCGCTGCTATTCCTTCGCTTACCCATCACTCCACTTGTTCACCACCCATTACTTGTCCACTCGCCCACAGATAGATCCCAAGGCCCCTGCAGGCTACGCAACTTCATCGTGAGTACGAGCAGCGCTCATCTCAGGCGGGCATCCCAGGCGGGCATCACCGCAGTCAGAGCGCATGACTAATACGCCACCTGCTTCCGTATCCTTTGTGGCACTCAGCATCTGGGAGACAGAGAAGGTCAAGGCATCCTGAACCTAGAGCGCAACTACGCTGCGTTCGCTGCGCTCTGTGACCAGCGGCCATGTGCAAGAGCGACGAACGTTGCGACTCCGGCGAGCCAATGCATGCATTCACGTAGCTGCTTGAGGAGACAGATGTAGCACTGATCAGATTTGTTGCTTCTACGTCGGCTCTTTGAAGCATGGCGCCAAGAAATTCGACCCTCTGCAAATGATGCATGGAGACCGCAGCGGAATATCGCACCATCAAGTCTTTCACATAACACTTGAGCGACTGAAAGTCTATGCATTCCAGATCGCATGCTACTCTATCCTCTCTTCCTTCATGAGGGTATGCACCAAACCTCTCAATTCCTTGCCCGCGCTCTTCTCGCCTAGCTGAAGTAAGCGAGCCCTAAGTGCTGCAGCCAGCCGGCTGCGAAGCAACCTGGCTTCGGGCTGATCTGCTCCGGAAGCTAAAGAATTATGGGACCGACTGCCTGCTTGTGGCAAAGCGTAGCCGCCAGGCGGCGGAGGAGCTAGCGGAGTGGGTGGGGGATACTTGTCCGATGTTGGCGCTGGGTAATCGGTGTCTATGGACGAAGAGAAGGAAGAAATGTCGTCTGACACCGAAGAGCCGCTTGCGCGCGAGATAGAACGCGAGTCGGACATCGACACAGTGCTTGCAGCTTGATCTGAGGAAATCGGCGATGACGGTGTTCGCGATGCTGATGCCTTGGATGGGAGCAATGGCCCTAGCGTAGATTCTACAGGATCGCCGAAAGTGATTTTGATGTTTGCACCCGGTCTGGGCATCCATCTCGGGTGATTTCTAGGTTCAGGCATCATGGCGTCCAGCCCCTCGATCCAGATGGGTATCACGATTGGCGTCTGTTCTCGATGAGATTCGAGCAGCAGTCTTCCAATGCCCCACTTGAACCTGCGACAGATGGCCTTGCGGGACATGTTGACATAACCTTCGGGGAATATATGCACCCATTGGCCCGTCAAGAGCTTGTCTATTGCTGTGTCTATCGAAGGTTGAAACACCCCTCGCCCTCGATCGGTGGACAACACCTGACCGTGCGTGAAAAAGTACCGGAAAAGGCTTGGAGGGGTCAGGTCCAAGAAGAGGTTGGACGGTCAGCCCGAGTGTCGCGGGAGTCTGTGGCGCATACACGCACGCATTGGTGAACATAATGTCCGCTGCGCCCAAAGTCCAGCGCGTGGTCTCTTGTCGCTGAAAGGTGCTGAAAGGCAGCTTGCCAAAGATTGTGGGATCATCCATTCTACGACCATGAGATACAGAATTGCAACTGAGTGCAAGCGAAGCCTTTTAGCGAGTCGATCTTTTACTTACACAGAAATGTGATTGGCGTCTGAAGAGGAGCAAATATCGTAAAGGCAGCAGGGGGCGATTAGCGTCTCCCTACCATTTCGATGGAATTTTGCACTACGCAAAGCTTACACGTCAGGATTCCCCTGCCATCTTTCCGCCGTCTGTCGTCGTACAGGATGTCCAAAAATCTTTCCATGCCCTTGATTTCCACGCTGGACGCCCATGGTCTCGACAAGAAGCCTCTGGAGAAGAGAGCAATTGTTGCTAAAATCAAGAGATATGCCGTGCCATGCTGAGCTTCATGGTCGCCTTTGACTGATGGCTTGTGTGCAGTGCTCGAGTGCAATTCGTCCACTCACAAACAAGCGGTCTGAGAGGCATCCTGACGCCTCGAGAAGACGCCTTCGCGCTCAATGCCCCTTGTCCCTTTGGCTCTGAGCCTTGCCAGCGTCTTGGCGATTCTCAGCGTTCACGAGGCAATGATCCTCGAATTGACCATGAGCAGTAGCTTGCCTCACTCAAGACTTTGAGACTTTGAATGTTCTTAGAGGACCAGTATGGCGGTCCGTCCGGCAGCGGAAGGCGAAGCAGACATACAACATTGAACGCTGGTGAGCCCAAGCTGATGAGCCTTGAAAGACTCATCATTTCAAACTTTTGACTCCAGACTTTGACTCACGTCAGAGTCAGAGTTACATACCAATCACGAATTGCTGGTCACGTTTCACAATTCTTCCTCGACCCGCGCGCCTCCGAGAACCCGACGCACACACAGCAACGCTAGCCAACCGACTTTGACTCAAAACTGACTTTGACTGCATTCATGACCGCGCCACACACGTGATTCGGGAATCGCCCACCGGTACAGCATGCTGTGAGATCTGCGGCCTGCATATCCCAACGTTAGCTCGAAATATTTGAATCGACATCAAAATCAAGATTAAGGCCATTCACTCGTGAATGCACGCTGCTGTCGTGGCATGCTGATTCGAGGCCCGCCCGCCAAAAGAACATCCGGCGGAACGCTCCTCCTGCAGTCATGCGCTTCGCTTGACTTGAACGGTGGTAAGCAGGTGACGAGCACCAACGGTCGCCCGTACAACACCGGCAACGGTTTCGTCTGCCAACGCTCTGCACGCGCACTCGACAGGCTATCTGCAGGTACTGTAATGCACACACCTGTTGTGATGCACAGGCGGATGTGTTCGCTGTGACCGGTCGCGCGTACGAACGTTAGGCGGAGAATTGCAAGCTTCGTCGTGCTTGAAAGAACGTTTCCCTCCCTCGACGTCGGATGGAGCATGAGTCTCACCGGAAGGACCCATATAGTAGTAGTCAGGAGCCCTGTTCTGCGCTCTGCCCTTCGTGCTGTGCACCTGCGCAAGTGATGGAGGGCCCGGTGCACGAAGTATGCAGCGCCATGTCGCCC